TTCATTGATACCCTCCGGAGCTTGGCCTACAGTTCATAGCGATTATGATAAGTAAAAATAATAATTTATATTTAAGGTGCTTATAGCCATACTATCAACCTCAAAAAATATTTCAAGCTAAATATTTTTTCAACGTACTTTGATACGCAGTACTAAACGAAAATCCAAAGTATAAGAAGAACTAAAAAATAAATGCCTTGAAAGTCTGAGGTTCCAATTGCGTAAACATTTATTTGTATGATTTAATTTTCGAAAAATAATATGGCTAGCCTCTCTTAAACTTTCATATGTTATAGAGAATTGTAAATTAAAATAGGTTTTTTTATTTTACAAATATTAGATGTGAAATCTTTTTTTCTTCTCTATTTCCCCTTAATTTCTAAGACCTTATTTAAGAAGTTAGTAAGTATAAGTATATAGCGAGAAAGACTCGTTGCTTTCTTTCGCTATGATATACGCGGGTATATATAGTTATATAGCTGTAGTCGGCATTTCCATGCACACCACTCCTCTCTCCGTAGGCACATATTCAGTATACCCCTTCCACGCGTCTCCGAAGTATGTGCCTACATGCCCATTTCCACGCGAATCTGTAGGCACACACTCGGTATACCCCCTCCACGCTTCTCAAATAAAAAAAAAAATATGTGTGCCTGGTTCGACCGCTTGGCCGCGACGGGGCGCTCGAAACAGTGGCCAAAAGTGAACTCGCGCCGTAGCATTGCAGTCAGCAATCTCTCTACTAATCTCTGCTGCTGTCCAGCAGCCTGTGAAGGAGCGTGAGACTGTAGTCCACAGTTTTTGGTTTGAAGCTGAAAACAAACTTAAATGACAATAATCGTTATTTAACAATCTATTTCAAGTATTGTTATAAGGCCGAACAAACCGCCATCTATTGTTTGCCAGTGTAACTGCTCTCTGCAAATGTTACAGCAAACTCGACAGAATTTCGCTTGATTCAGTATTAACTCTGCGCTTAGTGTATTGTTTTAAAAGATATATGTAAGTATACGTATTGACTCTATGTACTTGATGTATATTATGAACCATGTTCAATACTTATGTTGTACCATGGCTGTGTAATTCACCTTTAAAGCCAATAAATCTATTATACTACTACTACCCTCACTATACTAGCTTCACTACAGTGAGCTTTTACAGCATTGTGAATGTATGTATACATATAGAGCCTATTAAATATTTACTATGTATATAGGCTATACTGGCTACAGGTAATTACATAGGTACGTCAAGCAAACCGAGCACCATGCTGCACTCTGGTGATAAATTTTTTGATACTCCCTCATTAGATAACGTGAAAATTTAAATTCTCGCAAGCGTGATAATAAAGACGATACCTACTACCGAATGATGGTAATAAATCATTAAAATATTGGACAATAATAAGCTTCAAAATGCTGTAAGGGCAATCTGGAGATAATTAAAGTCTCTTACGACATCGATAAGGTTACATTAATTGTATGATATTTTGTAGTATTATTTAGTCAACAGTAATATTGCAGACGCATATTTTCGAATGTACAAAGAATACATGTAGCTTGATTTCGGCGAGATTTATTTAAATATAAAAGAAGAAAAGTAACAAAAATCAGGTCATATCTTATCAGTTCAATATCTGGTTTTTTATTTTTCCCTTGAATTCTCAACCAACCTTGCCAAGTTGAGACTTGATGTTTACTCTGACATATCAAGACTGTGCGTCTACTATTATTTTTTCGACAAAGCAGCTAGTTGTTAAATAATTGTCATAATTTATGTCATCAAAGTAACCTTATCGATAAGATAGGGAGTTTTAAATACTCCCCAGCGGCTCTTCTGAAGTATAGGCATATTATAGTTTTCATAAAATCTTTATGCTCTCAAAAGATTTTAGTGGAATATATGTATGTTTAAGCGTGAGTGTACATACATGCACGCACGCACACATGCACACACAAAATTGTCACATCCAAATGACTAGTCGTAAATAATGGAAGATTCCTGTAAGATGTGGTGTTAGCACGATATAATTGACACTTAAAACTAATAATTTTAATGATTTGAATAAAAAAGTCAGAATATTGTAAGGTTAACGGCTAACAATATTGTATCATGACTCATGAGGATTATTATATTACTCAGCTTAAACTTCACGCAACTTGATAATAATTAATATAACAGAAAATTAAGATCTTCAAAATGTCTTGGAGTAATAAAATGAGCTTCGTATTAAAAATATAGTGTGAAAATTCCTCAATTTACTTAGATGCTCAGAAAATGCTCACAGTTCTGTTTTTGTGTATTTAGGTTTTAACTCTTCGATTCTCTTGATGAAATCAGTCTTCTCTATGCATCCTTCGCACACTTCATCCCAATCATTAAGTACCTTCTTTAAGTCTCTTACTTTCAGTTTTTTAAGATCTACTGTGCTTAAGTCTATTTGTTTTTCTGTAATTAATAATTAAACATACAAAAATGGATTTTAAATTATTATATTTGATATAATTTTTAGAATTAATATTTATAAATAAATGAACTTACCAAATCTCAAAACACATACTTGCGCATCTTTTTTCTTCAATTCTTCACAAATTTTGTCAGCTGGTTTATGGTATGATAATGGTCTGCTTAGTTCACTAAGAATACCAGTAGCAGATTCTTCAAGCCCCCCTAAATAGTAGCACTAGGCATGACAAAATGTGTGCAATTGTTTTATGGCTGATAAAAACCGATATTCGCAAGAGAAAATTTGAAAGATACTTACTAATCTATTCTCTTTACCCTTCGAAGGTGCACAAAATTTTTTAAATTCCTGTTCTATGTTCTTGGTGTTACTTTTACTTTCATCAGGCAATGATTTGGAAAATTTTTCAATTACGGCTATACACACTGAAATATATGTTTTAAAAAAAATTTTGATGAATGTTCATTAATTGTCAATATTAGAAAGTAGAAACAACTAATGAAGATTTATAGGAATTATTTAAAAATGTAGGTTCAGGTTTACTATCTGGCCGCACGACTTTTAACTCCAAAGGTATGAAGTAAAAAAGAGAAGTTGTAAAGGTATGAAGTAAAAAAGAGAAGTTGTAAAGGTATGAAGTAAAAAAGAGAAGTTGTATTAGCATTCCTTACAAGTCTTAAGGTGAGGAACTGTTTACATATTGCAAAATAAATTAATTTTCGAACGAACATATATGTGTGTGTGTGAGTGCGTAAACTTGCTTTCGGCAATTTTATTGTCGCTACCAAAAGATGGGTTTAATTGTTAATTTTTTTTATAACGCTACCGAGCGAGCGAAGCTCGCAAGGGAGCCTTACTATACAAATAACTTAACATCCCTACGTCCCATGTTATACATAAGCATAAACATATACGAGTATATCTTACTAGTATATACAGCAAAGTTGTAATATGCTTAAGTTGTAATAATGCTAAAACCGTTGTAATCGCAAACTGCTAAAAATGTACTGAACCAATTTTGCTAAAATTTTTATACTGATTCTTGATGATTCCGAAATAGTTTTCGCATACTTTTTTCTTGAAAAAGTTAATAACAATAACGATAAATAAGCTAAAAGATTTACTAAAATAAGCTAGCTTTGCGCTTTTGTTCAGTGGGATCTGCGAGGTGGTGCCAAAGTAAAATTTAAGCCACCCGAAATCAAAGATAGTGAAGAGTGGTTGTAACATACCTCATCGAATTATCGATTATAATCGATAATTATCGTAGTTGTCTAACGGCAGTATACACCAAGAACAGAGTTGTTAGTCATGCAGTTGGACACCCCCGCTAACGATGAAACTATTCTTTCATGGGCAAGCGAAATAATTCGGTTTTTAACCCAAATGGTCACGATAACCGAATGCCAAGGAAAAATAGGCGTTCGGAACGTCAACGTCTCTGGGAGAATACCAGGAGACGTGTCTAGCCAGAGCACAACCTGCTCCATCATTTCAAAGTTGTGTGGCTGTACCACAATCTAGCCTGGTGCCGTCAGAGAATTTTTTACTACAAATGTAAACTAGGGAAGACAGCCCTGAAGAGTACGGGCAGCCACAACGGCCAACTTCTTAGTGGTCGTCGGGGAACGACCCGAAGACGAGATATTCTTTGGTCAGCGGCTTACCTCCCTCATGAACGGTCGCCGTACACAGAGACTCAACGGATAAGAGTCAAGCTACCCGCAGCTGGCTCTCCATCATCAAGAACAACAATAAGGAATAACTGAAAATTTCACCATTGGCCCTTTTCAGGGCCAGTATAAGTATTTACGTTACTTACTTAACCATCAATCTCATCGGTTCTTTTAAGAGCCCCTAAGTGCAAACTACTTTGCCAACAAATACATTGTTATTACCATTTCCGGAAACGATTCGTCGACTAAACAACTATGTAAACCAATCCACTGTTGAGGTGGCTCCTCACTAAATCAAAACACTGGAGTATTAAATGATATTTTAAAGGATGATTCTTGAAGGTGCAAGGAGTCTTTTCCCAAAATTTTAGACCTCGTCACCACCAAAATTATTGAAAAAAACTAACTGGAAAATAGACTCTGTAACATAGCCTCTTATGGAGGGTCGTCAAATTGGTGGCTCAGGTTGTATGATATCTCAGCAAAGATACTGTAGTTCTTAATAGAAAACTATGTAGCAGATAGAAGAAATCAGAATCTTTCCAACGACATTCAGGTACTTGGACATTACCATGGGTTTTATAGGATATTTTGTGAGAATAGTAGATAACTGTGCAAGTCACGGAACAGATGAAAAGTGTGGGGCGTCTGCTACACCGAAGAGCGGTAGCCCGCGTAGTTTGAATTGGTCAGAAAGTTGTACGTAAAATGAATAGGAGTTGTGGGGAATCGTAATTATAATAAAAATAAATGAGACGCTGAACTAAGAAAATAATTTAATGCGGGGCTGACTTATGTACTTTTTGTATACATACGTCTGCTCGGGTCACTGTATTGTACGATATAGGTCAACGGTGTAGATGTGACTAAACTTTTTTTGAAGGGATTATAGGTACCTATCCATATTTAGTCAAGAACCTCCACAGCCAATGAAAAGCTATGTTGCAGTATGCTTACTCTTCTTGTGGGATTTATAGTGAGGAGCCACCTTAAACCAAGTCAGTCATTCACTGGCAGACATCATGAGCAGAGTTGTTCGTCGCAAAGCTGGAAACCCCGGTGACAGACGACCCTACATTACTCTCTCGACTCTAAGCATTCAACCAGGAATCACCGATCCTCTCCAAGGTTTGCTCTGGGAGAACCTAACAGAAATGAAGGAAAAATAAACTTGAGCCAACGGGACAGTCTCCAACGGGCAAGCATTACGAACCAATCTCTCCACCTTGGATCATCAAAACAACTGAGTCTGCAAAAAAAGTGCTTTAGACACAAACATCTTCAACGTTATACCAGGAGACGGGAAAAAGCTCTACAACTAGCTCCAAAGTTTTAAACGTTGTAGCTTCCCACCCGATTAGTGCGGTGCTACAATAACAGGCCAGAGAAGATCACCCTGAGGTGTAGAGACAATCACGTTTGCTGGAAACTTCAGTCAAGAAAAGGAAGAGTTTACTTGAGAAGCTCACCGGTCCTTTTCAGGGTTATCGGACGTCAAACTACCTTGCCAACAAATATATTACAACCTAATTAAGTTGAAAAAAATAGATTTTAAGACTCACTAAAGTATCAACAATGCCAAAAATCGCAAGAAGTCAAATTGGAAGAATAACCTCGAATGCATCTAATGAATGCAGTTTTAGGCGTCAAGACAATGATGCTGAACATCTATCGAGATGATCGAGATGAAAGCAGCACCAAAATCGATAATTAAAGAATTTATTAAGAGAGAGATAAGCTTTTCACTATAACTGTCATAGTCATCCCTTAAATCTTCCAGATTTTTAGATAGGTATAATATGTATTTGTTTTTTTGTGGCGATAAAAAATGTAAAGATTAAGCTCCAGGACTTTGTTGCTGTGGTATTTAAGTTGTGAGATAAGAGAAAACAAATTTTTTTAAATCATATATTTATTGTGAGAATTAAATCTTTGCAGCTTTAAAAAATAGCCCTGTTCATAGATTAAACGGGAAAAACTGCAAATCAACGGCTTTTTAGGGCCAACGATTAATTTATGACTTAAGGAATGCACGGTACTTTTCAGCATTATTATATTTTTTTCATTTTTAACAGCTTTTTACTTGACCAGACAAACTATATGGATTTCGAACGAATATGTTTTTCATAAGAAGGTTTTTTTTCTGAGAAGTGTCAGGAATATATGTTAAATTTTAACTGAAAACGTTTCACATTACATGTGAACACACTACGGTGTTCCATATAGTGAGTCTCGGGCGAAGCCGAGTCGGAGGGGCGGCTAGTTATAAATATGGAACCGACAAGATAGCTCAGCGATAGAGTTGCAGTCCCGTCAATCACCGAGGTAAAGCAGCATTTGGCGTGGTGAGTACTTGGATGGGTGACCGTTCAAGTGTTGCCGTTTCGCCTCTGCTGTTTGCTTCGTGGATTTATTGACTGTTTCTCTGTCTCTTCGACATCGTGAGCGGGAGGTGTGCCAAATTTTTGCCCCGTTGTCTAAGTCTGCAGCTTAGACACCAGATCAGAAATATGGTAGATACACCGGGCTCTTTCGGATCAGGTTTTTCCTATGGGAGATTTCCCGCTGTGTTCCTGATCCACATGACAATTATCATGGGCGAATGCGCAATAGTTGTTAGGGTCCTCCCCCTTCCAATCCCATCCCAACCCCTTCCCAATCCCAAGTGCTGAGTGCTTTAAGTAGTGCCTCTACAAGAGAGCCGGACGTAAGACTCTATAATATTTTTAAAAAAAGTTATAGATATGCAAGTACACAGTATGAGGCCTATCTATACAACGTTCCGTTCGAAAATTGTATTATTTATTTTGCAATATGTAAATATTTACTCACCTTACGACTTGTAGGAAATGCGTACAAAACTTTCATACTTTAAACATTTTCCAATTCAAAAATCATGCAGCCAGATAGTTTACAGTAACGAGAGTGTATATCATTGGAACGCAAAAATTGCCAACCACTAAAAACAAAATGATGTAACATACCTTCACATTCACCCTCTTTGAGTTTTGAATCTACACTAATGGTGATAAGAAATAGGATGACCAATAAATATGCTACCCACATATTGGCTTAAGTTGAGACCTAAATAACATAAATTCCTTTTACATAGGTACATATCCTATTAAATGATATATGTAAGTATATCTACGGAGCGTGCAGTGGCTTAGTCAGCTAGGTCATGGGTCAGCGGGTGGGAGACCGTGGTTCGCAGCAAAAATTGCCTAATTTCCCCCTACCCCCTCCTGCAATGGGAGGCCTTCGATCCCTTTCCTTGTCCTTTTCCCAAGTGCTTAGTGCCTATGGTAGTGCCCTTATTAAAAGAGCCGGACGTAGTGCACTATAATATACAAAAAAAAAAAAAAAAAGTATATCTACGACTTTTAACGTTTTTATGCAAATTGAAAAGATGATCGGTAGGTTTATCGATTACCAAAGAAATTCAAAATTTAAAATGCAGTAAAAAATATTGTGATGCCTATGGAGGTACCTCAGCCATAGAGTACCAACCTAGAAATGTCTGAAAAATGTCACTAGAAAAATGTAACTATACTTCTCTAACAATCTAGCGCTATATAGATGTTTCGATGAGACGCGTATAGGTGAAGTGTGACGTACAATCATCAGAGCAGGTGTCACATGTAAACGAGACATGAATTTTTATTGGAAAGAAAATTTTAAATGCTAATATCTCATTCTCAGATACCTGTTCAATTATTATTATTAATACATCGATCTATAATATCTATCGTAAATCGATATATTAATAATAATTTGGCAACAAAAATTTTACGGTGTATTCTATATTTCTAAAGCATCAATTGTACGAAGTTTGAACGAAATCTATATAGTAACTTCGTGGCTGAGGTACCTCCTTAAGCTTTGTTGATTCCCAATCGACAATAATTACGTAGATTCGTTATGTATTTGAGTACGTTTCAAAAATACGTCATATCAATACATAGTGGAAATACGTGTTGGTTCAAAACCTTTCGTCACCCAATTTTATCATGTGTTTTGCAGTCATGAAGAATTCGTTGAAATAGTTTTAAAATGTGATTACGACATGCATTGTCATGATCGTTATACTGTTATCATCTGGATAGTAAAACCAAAACAGGAGGATTCAAGTATTTTTTCTTAAATTTTAGTATAGTGTCGAGAAAACTTAAAAAAAAAGTCCATTTACTTCAAATTCAAAAAAATACTTGAGCCCCCTTGTTTTGGTGTTATTCTACAGATGATAACAGTATAACGATCATGATAATGCATGCCGTAATCACATTTTAAAACTATTTCAACATGGAAATACTTCATGACTGCAAAATACGTGATTAAGTTAAGTGACTAAAGGTTTCAAATCAACACGTATTTCCACTATGTATTGATATGACATGTTTTTGATACCAACTCAGATATGTAACGAAACTACGTAATTATTAATAATTGGGTTACAGAAAATGAACACACTTTGAAAAACGGTTCATTAATGGAAAGTGAAAGCTTTAAGAAATTCAATTTTTTTTTAACGTATGGTGTTATAAATCCAAGTACACAAAGGTCCACTATTCAGGGCACTCAACAGATTGACACTTTAAAAAGGGACTAGGAAAAGAATGGTAGCATGGGAGACCTCTTTTCACAGTAGAGGGTGTAGGAAGAAAATAGGCCAATTTTGTGGCTACAAGGTCGCCCATCCGCTTTACAGGGAGCATTGCACAGTAAAAGAGCACATATGAAAATTCACAAGGGTTCTTGTACTTGCTCGAAAAAGTCGCCCAGGGCTGTGGGCCAAAACCTAGCCAACTGAACTCTTAGTGACCGCACGCTCTTTTCAATTTAACTAAAAAAAAATTTGGATAGGGTGTGCTATGTAAGGCAAATTTAATTTGAAGTTCGACAGTGCTAGTAAGTATGGTTCGAGATTGAAACACATAACAAATGCAAATTTAAGTAATACATGAAAAATATTAACACATTTTCAGCACAGAAGATGATTATTAATTATATTGTTTCATATAGGTAATATGTTGTTTACAATTAAGAAAGTTTTAATTTACGTGACAAAAGTATATATTTTTTACTATCTAAGACAAAATACAGTACTCATGGCTAACCAAACACAAAAAAACATTCGACTCACTCTTAATTATGTAAGCTACTGGGATTACTTGACACCGCTGACTAACTGTGTACTCGTAGTTTTTCTTGCATTTAAATGCGCACAGGAATGATTTTTTCAATAGTAAGCTGCAAATTAATATGCTTCCAATGCATAAAGAAGCTAAATACTATAAGAAATTAGGAAAGACTAAACTACTAAAAACTATCGATTACACTCCACATACGTGGCGGATCAAGCGGATGTCACGTGTCGCTTTATTCTCGTTCGGCCCTAAGGAGCTTTACACACAAATGCGACACGAGCATATAACACACATCCGAACTCGTGGTTGCGACGGTTGCGTTCGAATAAACCGTATGCGTATCCCAATCGCATTCTCGACTGTAACGCCATCTCTGCAAGAATCACATTTTTGATATTTAATACAGCGTTGGGTTAGGCGGATTTAATATCGGAACTTTTTCCCTAGATCGTATATATAGCTATACGATCTAGGGAGAATGTTCCGTCGAGCAGACAGCACAGCAGTGAAGGGGCATTGCCAAAGACGCGTGAAAATTAAAAATTGTAATATTATAACACAAAAGCCTATCACCCAATGACCCACGGCGCTAACTGGCCACTCTGTTAAATAAATAATTTTTAATAACACAAGCGCCTATCACCCAATGACCTGGGGCGATAACTGGCCACTCTGTTAAATAAATAATTTTTAATAACACAAGCGACTATCACCCAATGACCCAGGGCGCTTACTGGCCACTCTGTTAAATGGATAATTATTAATAACACAAGCGCATATCACCTAATGACCCAGGGCGCTTAGAGGCCACGCTTTTAAATAAATAATTATTAATAACACAAGCGCCTATCACCAAATGACCCGGGGTGCTAACTTGCAACTCAGTTAAATGAATAATTATTAATAAATAACACAAGCGCCTATCACCTCATGACCCAGGGTGCTTACTGGC